GCTTATGTTTGATGTCATTTATGTGACATTCGAAGAATTATAGGCGAAAACTGACTAACTGGTAGAAGAAGAAGAAGAAGCAGTAAAGGCAGGAGTTCAAGTGAATATATAGAGAGAACAGTACTCCCAGTTGGTTTTCCAGTGGTTCTCTAACCAGTGTGTCAGCTTATGATGAAATCCTCCAACCAACCAATCAAACAAACAAACAAAATCCCTACAAAACCAATACTTGAAAATTAATTAATTTCATCATCACCTGGCTTTACTGGGCTCAATACTGAAGATCAGATGACCGGAGAAGCAAAACAAATAGAAGAACTTTGACAACGAACGAACGAACCAACCAACCAACCAAAAACCTATCACTCAATAAACATGGAGAAGAAAATATTTGATGGATTGGAAATACTCTGAAAGGACCTTTGAGTGACTTCATGTGCCAGGCCGTCCAGTGGAATACGAATGGGAAACGATGAGTCGGGTGTCTGTCTTTTTGAGGATGACACGTAAGATGCTGTAGTTGGAAAGCTACTTATACCTTTGTAATGTTGACTGAAGTCACAAATATAAGGTTAAAAGGTGCTGAGACTAACCAGATCAATTATCTACAGCTAATGAATGCCATCTATAAGTTATGTAGGTGACAGTTATCTGTGTCACTGAGGTCATCAAAATGATGTCAGGCATCAATGCCTAGGGGAACATCTCAATAGGCCTATCCAAGAGTTCGTTGTAGTCGAGCAGATATTGCTATTTACATTTGTTATCATCGCTAGATTAGTTCCCAATATTATTATTAATAGTAGAATTACTTGAACAACACATCTGCATTTTATCCTGTTGACCGCATTTCTCTTCGGCTGATCCCACGATTGCGTATTAGCTTTTATTCCCTCCATGTCACCCTCCGACGCCCAACTCGTCGTTCCCCACTCAAGTCCTTCCTACTTGAGGGCCTAGCGCGCGATATGTCACCCAACGGTCTCCCCTCAGATTGTGTCCTATCCATCTCCATTTTTTTTTGGTAAATTGCACGAACATTCCACATCCGAATTAATTATTTTTACTTTCATCGAAAGGAGATACATCGGCTGACTGGCTTCCAGTAAGCTTCCAATAGCTCGCGCATCCTTTCGTCTCCCCGACTCCAGCGAAGAATAGGCTTGTTTTTTTTTTGTGTATTTTTCTCGTCTTTCAAACTTACTGTAGCGACAGAATTAATTTCCCGGAGCAGGATCACTAACCTCATACTCAAACTGCCCACTTCTCCCGGACTTACTATACTAGGTGAGGTTAGGCGCGGTTCCCTATACGTTTCATCAATACACATCCCATGAAAGTAGATACTGATGAATTATTAAAATTTGAAGAACAATAATCTTGAAAAAAAGAGGTTGGGAGGGATGGAGATTTCATACTCATCAATTTTTAGCTACAAGTTACTTTTTTTGCCCCAGTCTAAGTCATTCTGTCTGTCTGTCTGTCTGTCCCTCTCTCTCTCTCTCTCCTTCTCTGTCGTTTTTCCATCCTTTTAATTATTCACACTTGCCTACACACTTCATAAATTTTATGCATAAATGAATTCAAATACGAAAGTCTGATTATGATTATGATTCTTTTTTTTCCTTCTTTCTTTCTTTTTCCCACTTCGATTATTTTGTCTTCTCTCTTAGAATTATTATTTTTTCCTTTTTGTTTGTCTTATTTGTCCTATTTACACATGCTAAATAGAATTTAAAAAAATTTAATTCTCTGTATTTAACAATTGGCATTTTAAGAGTTATGAATTCGAATGTATTGTAATGGATGGTGGAATGTACTTTTCCGTGTGTGCGTGTGTGGAATCAGATGTGTAATTTACTTATACGCACATCCCACTCCAGGCCTTTGAATGAGAAGCGACAGGTTGATTGGGCATGGTAGAGGGGATCATGTGAAAGCTTGTGGAAAGTTATGGAGTCAGCTAAAAAAAGGTACTATAGAGTACCGTGTAGTGCTCTTTACCTAGCTCTACGATTGCCTTTAGTAAGCTCTCGTCTCCTCATCACATTATCTGTCGCATGTCATCCTCAGGTTTCACCTGAAGGCCTGCCTAGCGCGTGGTGTCAGTATAGGAATTTGCAAATCAGCCTACCAGCTCGACTTGTTAGCTGATATAGGGTCAGGCTGGAAAAGAGCTAGCTAACGGCGGTCAAACCAAAACATGGCACCAGTCAATGAAATCTACAACAATTAGTTTAAGCTAGTCACGTAAGAATGTGTAGACTTCCTGACTGGTTGGGGTCCTCGGGACGGTAAAAACCAATGGTTGGATACAATCAGTGATATGGCTCAAAATCGTTCTCAAAGGCTAGCGCAGATGCATCCACTCCTTGTGACTTATAATATCCAATGAAACTGTTTTGTTCTTCAATATTACTATACCTTTGTCTCACACCTCTGTTTACTGTCTATATCATGCATTTCTTCTACTCTCTTCTCTTGCTTTGTGTGCTACATGGAGGGAGAGTGGCGACTTGAACTGGCGCACATATGTGCAGAGTTCTATGTCGAAAACAGACAGACAGATATATCATCATCAGTTGTCTGCAGCTATTTAGTTCTTTGCATTCCGAGAACCTCAACCAGAAAGTCCTCCGTACGCCTGCCTACATGACTGACTGACTGGCTGGCTCAAACTAACTGTTAAAAATTTAATGGACTGACTCGAGGTTTTGGTTTAATCACCACTAGCTAACTGTTTTCCAACCTGATCCTGTGTCAACTAACATTCCCCGTTGAGGAAGACGCATCATGTAAAAGTATTAACCAACAGTCTACCTAGTGCTGTGAACCTTGTTTCCACGCATAGTACGCATGTGTCATATCTTGAAAAGTATAATCCGATGCTCGGTAGTGACTCTGGCTACAGGACAAATTTGTCTGGAGTTAATTCTAGTGAGGTCACCCAGATCTGGAGTGAGGAAAAAATACTCGCCGCTGGGTGACACTGGTCTAGTGGTTGCGCTAAAATCACGAGGTGTTAGAAATCAGAACTCATAAGGCAGCCCAAGTGAGTCGGGTGGGTCCTAGTGGCTGAATAATAGTCTACGAGCTTGACTTGTAACCCGGAAGGTCTTTTGGGTTCGAACCCTGGCGGTGGGTGTGCATTTGTTGGGCTAGGCTGATGAAGCAGCTGGTCGACGAGCACTCCACCTGCTGCTTTTCAATGGACTCTAACTAATATCAATCTGTGGTCAAATATGAATCATATCTCTATTGTACATACTTCTTTTGTACACAAAGGTCTGGCTTAAAGTCACGGCTTAATTGCCAAGGCCTCAACTGTCTTTAGAAGTCTGTAACGAAGAAAACGCGGCCAGGGAGTTAGCATGGATTCTATATATCATCTTAAAATCATGGTCAGGGTTGACAGAGTGACAGAAGTCGATCAGGTGTTCCAAAATAGAGCTTCGCACACACACACACTTTCTTTCTCCCTTGTAAAACTATGCTGCTTGAATATGTTCTCGTATCCGTGTAGTGGAAAGCGTCCTCTGACTACGGCCAATGTACCTAGCTCCACAAGAGGAGCAGGTGAACTGATAGATGCACATGGAGGCGGCCAGACGGGGGGGGAGCTTATCTTTTACAGAGGTAGAGAACAACTTGCGACTGCTAGTGAACGTCATATGTAATTTTGCTGCATAGAACGTCTTACTGACTCGGTCGGTCGGTTGGTTTTCGACATAGAACTTCGCATATATGTGCGCCAGTTCTTCCACTCTCAATGGCCATGTCTCACGGCTAGCCATAAAGGAGGACGGAGTGGACTGTTGAGCAGTACACACGCCCTTTGGTCGATAGTCAGATATCGCGTCTACGCCAGAGATGGCGTGAACTGGCATATGCGAGACTAGCCCTCTGTATTCGTGATGAGATTTCGTCGGAGATCAACCCGTTGGCACTGGCTGATGGTACTTCCCAAGTAAGCGAAGTGGCCAACGCGCTCTACCACTTCACTTCCTATTTCTAATCTAGGGGTCGATGAAGTCAAATCCTGCAGCATCATCTTACATTTTACAGGGGCGAATCGCATGCCAAACATACGAAGATTGTTGCTCAAGGTGTTCAGTAGACTCTGCTCTATTTTGTCAGCGTCCTCGCCTAGAAGGACTATATCGTCTGCATATTGCAAGTCGACGAGATTATTCCCTGGTAGCAAGTCAATCCTTGAGTCTCTGAAGTGTGTTAGGGTTCAGTGCATTAGTACGTCTATGATGAAGTTGAGTAGGAATGGGGATAATGGGCATCCTTGACGGACGCCACTAGTCGTCACCACTTCGGATGACAACTCGCCGTAAGCCCTCACCTGGCTGGCTGCATGAGTACGAGTAGAATGCCTTAATCAGTGCAATGTATTTTCTCGGCATTCCCTTTACAGCCAAGCATCGCCAGAGAACCTCTCGGTCGACAGAATCGAATTCCGCCTTTAGGTCAAGAAATATAATGATTGTCGGATGCCGGTAAGAATGCCAATGTTCTAGAATCTGTTGAAGGGTGAAGATATGATCAATACACCCTCTTCCTGGCCTAAAACCTGCCTGGCTGTCTAGTGTTTGTGCCTCCCGAGCACCACTTAGTCTACACAGTATTATTGAGCCTAAGATTTTAGAGACTATATTAGTCAAGCTAATCCCTCTGTGATTATCACAAGAAGACTTGTCTCCCTTCTTGTATATCGGAATGATCAGTGACTTACACCAACCCGATGGGACTTTCTCTGATTCCCAGACTCTGTCTAGAACCTCAGTTAATGCAGACAGTAAACTGTCTTACTGACTGATTTAGAGAGACGATTTTTAAGCATATCTGAAGCTTGATCACCTAATATAATTTCCTTTTCTTTTCTTTTCTGCTTGTGTCTGATACTTTGATTCTACTCATCTCAATGAATGGAATTCAATTCTACTATACATACAATACCAATGATAATTCTTATTGTCATCATCGTATCAAAGAATTCAATACGTCATAATTTATCACTGAATCGCTACTTTATCCGTGTACCACGTTCACATTCTGAACCGGGTAAAGGTGCATTTTGGCAATTAGATCCCTATTGTGAAGCATGTTTAATTAGTCAAGCATTTCGTAAACGTCGTCAAACCTCATCGAAATCATCATCGTCATCAGCTGACTTGAATTTAACTAATCATAATAATAACAATCATAATAATATTAATAACAATAGCAACAGTATCAGTAACACAAACCAATACGATGATGATGGTGTTGATGATGAAGAAGAAGAAGGCGGAGAAGAGGAGGGGGATGGTGAGGAGATGGTAGAACCAGGAGAAGAAGAAGAAAGAGAAGAAATAAACAATTATAGTCATAACAATTGTCATGACAACGGTGACGGTGTAAACAACAATGATAACAATTATAATAATAATAATAATAATAATAATAACAACAGCAACAGTTTTGATAATGATAGTTACACGTTTCTATCTAGTAAAGAATCTCAAAATGATAATAATGATAAGCATAAGAATAATCTATTTTGTAATACATTTATGAAAAATCCTTTCATCACTATACCTTCATCATCGTTATCATCACTATCATCACCATGTGCCTTTGTACAAAGTAATTACAATCGCTTACAACCGCCACCACAACAACAGACTCAATCACAATCGGAAGAACAATCTTCATTGAATACTGCTTTATGTGTATCGTCTTCAGCCATAACTCCTTCATCTTTGTCATTATCATCATCATCATCATCATCTCCGGTATTATTAGGTATTGATCAACATCTTCAACAACAATGTATGCCTCCATCAATTATTAGAACGCTACAACAGCGAACAACAACAACAGAATTCACAGGAAGCATTATTATCCAGTTCAATAATTCCAATGAAAAATGAAGATTTATCATCTACGCATAATGATGGGTAAGTGTGTGTTACACTTTTTTCTTCGTCTTTTTTATTTGTTGTTCTCTTTTTTTTCTTGGTATATTTATATCATAGTGTGTTGGATGCGTCCCCCACCCACGCACATCCCCACCACCCTTTTTATCCTGTGGCTAGTAGACTTTAAAAGTCCAGGTTGTGGGGCCTTCGGGACTCTAAGAATCAATGGCTGGAGACAATAGGTGGTGGTGACATGGCTCAAAATCGTTGTCAATGGCTTATGCAGATGTATTCAGTCTCTGTATTCTTGCATATTATTCCTTTCTACCATTACTCATTCATTCTGTTTCACTCTTGTGCTTGTCAAAACTTTATTGATTCTCTTCACTCATGCCTTCTTGTCTATCTTTTTTGTGTGCTATTTGGAACGTGGCAACTTGAACTGCTGCACTTCAGTGTCAAGTTCTATGTTGAATCCAGATAGACAGACAGACAGACAGACAGACTTTAGAAGTAAAACTCTTTGTGTTTCAGGCGAGTATACTTGGCTTTGAACGACTATTGTGTATACCGTTGGTTTTGCTTTCTAGCTCTTACTCACCGAGTTTTAAGCAAACACGTAGTTATAGTAGTGTGGTGAGAGCTGGCTGCTAGCCAAAGTTGGTTGACAGTAATTGACGTCAATGTTTATGTCCCCAATATTGGTGGTGGTAAGAAAATAAGAACAAAGGCTTTGCGTAGGCGGATACAGTAAGAATATGGATGATCTGACACAGCTACAAAGAGATGCAAGGTTAACTTTCTGTGAGAAACCACCAATCAGAAGACTGTGTTTGTTTGCTTACAATAATCTATAATAATGTACATGAAAATCTATAAATATGTGTTGATTTTCCTTAATAAACGATCTGTTGCCTGGCCCTTGTCTTCTGTTGTTACAGTAGTAGCAGTATCTCTTCATACATTTTTGAATTTTTTCATTTTTTTGTATTTGGGATAAAATTTATTCCTAAGTATTTTCGATTAAACACTAGTCAGTAACTTTGGTAATATGTATCTAGTCCCCATGTTTGGTGCAGACTGAATTCTATCAGTTATTCAAGCTTGCAATGTGGCCAGCATGCCACTAGGTGGCTCTCCGTCACGGTGCACTGTGAATTGTGTTGCTATTATGTGGTTGGAGGCAATCAGCGGCAGTAAGCCTTGTCTGACCTCCTAGGTTTCGTGCTAGTTGCCACTTACCAGTCAGTAAGGCGTATCTGCAACCTTGAAGTCTTTGTGTTTGTAAGGATTTGATTGGTTCCCACCTTAACGATGCATTGATATCCGTTGAAGGGAGGCATTGAAAACCAGAAAGCAGATAGATGGATTATTGGAGAGCTGTTCCCTCCTCTTAGTTTAGGACTACTCTTCAGTACACAGTCCACCCACCCATGACTTCACTAGGGATCCCATCCGATGGCCCATGAATTCTAGCTCCTATCGATTTTCAATTTTTAGCGCCATCAGCAGGTAAAGTCGTGTACAACTATTTCTCCCCACACCTAACCTGCTAGACTAGACCTCACTGGTCACGAATTCTCGATAATCGGTGGGAATCATGCGTGCGCGAACTGCTGTCCTGGCCCTCCCTGCCGGTTTTCAACTGCCCTCTAACTGATAAAATTTATTCTTAACTTTTTTTAAGGAGAATTTTGTTTCTACAAAATAATAAACGCTTTCAAATGAACTGTCGTCAAGATTTGACAGAATAATCCTAAAATATTTGGGCGCCGAGTGAGAAGTAGACATTTGTAAAAAATTATATTTGTAAAGTCTCAGCGAGATTGAAATGAGTAATTCCAACGTTTCGTTCGGCAATCTGGTCCGAACTTCTTCAGGGAAATTAATCGAAATTAACATAACAGAGGTTTATATATATAAAAAGAACAACTCTTGTTTTTAAAAACTTTGTCCAATCATGAGCCATAAAACAAGTATAATAAACAAAATTTTATGAGCTGTAATCAAAATTTGACCTCTGACTTACAAATACTGGTCTACATTTGTTAAACACTTTAAACAGAGTGTGCATGCGTGTGTGTGGGGGTGGGGGGCTAAACAGTTGTAAAACATTTCTTAACGTCTCCATGAGAAGATATGGACAGTCGAGAACTTTGACCAAGTATTAATAATTAGTGATACAAATCCATTTTTTATTTATTAATAAGGATTTCCTATGCATCAGCTAACATCACACCTTCATGTCTATTCAAACTGTTAGTATCTAGAATTTTATGATTAGACGTATTTTCAAAATTATGGTGCTTAGGATTAGAGTTTATTTGAAGCACCCTGTCCAACTTATTGCTTTGTCTTCTTCTTTCTGAAGATTGAGCTGCTTTATTCGACCTACTGGAGTTGTCAAGTGACTCGACAGCTACGGATTTAGGATATGCATTATTCTGTTGCAGACAACTATAATCAATCGTTAAAGTATGGAAATCTCTTGGCAACGTTGATGGCCTTTGGTTTGAATCCTATTGAAATTTACACTTTCACTCTAATATTCTATTATTCTTACTTCATGAATTGTAAATAGTTAAAATGAAACATATTCATTTTAAAGTTCAGCTGTATGCACTTATTATAGAAATGGAAAGGTATAGAAGTTGATTTATTCTTAAAGTACTTGAAACAGAGCCCAAGAGGAGACAACTGCGTGAAGCCAGTATTAACGACTTACCGCCTGTCATTGACAGTCGTAGGAATGGTTGGTTACTCAGGATATGTAGAATTTTCGTGACCTTTTGACCTTTTCTAACGCCACCCCCCCTTACTGCATCCCTGGAGTCGTAGCGGAGCATGCTGATTATGATGTAAGCGAAATAGATTACAGCTGTGATATCCTTTTTCGTCAGCAATACAACTTCGGACCCACACTATGCTGACAACTGCTGCTGTTATTCTAACCGCTATCTGAACAACCTTTCTGGTATGTAGATTCTTGATTCAGTATTTTGAGCTTTTGTACAGAACATTTTCACAATCACACCTGATTCGTATGATCCTACAAGAGATGAGATGTTCCTCTGCTGGGGGTATGCAGCTATTTGATTAACTTCAGCTCTGATCGACGAATTGACACTTCAGTCAGAGAAGCTTTGAAAACCACTCAATCGGTTGGCCATTGGATTCTGCCCCACTGGCTGAATGGTGTATACAAGTTCACCGCCTTGTAACCTTTAGGTCCTGGGTTCTACCCTTAGCAGTGGGGTTATGGGTGTGTACGGCTGAGGAGTGGTCCCAGACATGGGCGAAACAGCCGTCCAGCGCTGCCTCCACCTGGTTGCTGGTTTTCAATGGCTCTCTGTCTCTCTTTCTTTTTAAATGACGTGGCAATTCTTGAACAAAATTCAATCCTAAAGCAATCTTGTTTACATATATCATTTGTTTGTGTACATAAATCTATCGTATATTTGTTTGTCTTATGAGATTTGTTTATTTCTTTGTGTGTATATATATATATATATATATATATATATACTGATTATCTCCTTTTTAAGGGTTTTGTCTTTTATCAAATATGTTTTGTGTTTTCTTGTGTTTTTTTATCACTGTTTACACTTTTTTGTTGCTTGTTTTTCTCTCTCTCCTAGCTATATGGTCACGTATCATTCATGTTTATTTATTTATTTATTGTTCTTAGTTTTTATTTTTATTTTGGTTTTACTGAATGTGCCTGGATAGCTGATAATATAGGATTAGGTTGGAAAAGGGTTAGAAGTAGCCAAACTAAAACCTAGTAGCATCAATCAGTCAATCCATAAAGTGTTTGATTTGTTGGTGTGAGCGATGTAGGCAGGTGCACAGACTGTCTAGTTGACACTTCCTCGAGATGTTGAGAAGCAATGGTTTAAGAATTTTGGTGATGATGTATTTATTTATTATTTATTTAAACGCAGAAAAACCTGGTACAATATGGCACCAAGAAAGATGCGCCACACAATATTGTGTGAGGGCTGAGATACTGACCGGGCACCCAGACCGAAGCAGGTGGTTTTCCTAGGGGACCATCCTCCGAGCCTTTGACTTGGAGTCTAATCCGCAAGGCAGCGGAGCTGTGTTTCCATGGTTGCCGGTGACCTATATGGGTTCATACGCCATTTGATCCGATTGAATTCTGGAGCCCATGTACCCCATGGTAACTGCTTCTAGTCTAACCGCTATCCAGACAACCTTCTTGACATGGTAGGACCTACAGGGACATGAGTCCTAGCCAGTTTAGCTTGTTGGGTCACTGCGGCATTCAAGCCCGACCACCACGGAAAGGTAACAGTTATCGGTCGGGGACATGTTACGTTCGCTAAACAGTCATCATTTCCAGCAGTACGCACTCACTGGGGCTTGAACCAAGGATCTTTCGATTACTAGGCGAGCTCGCAGACCATTCAGCCAATGGGACTGGTGATAATGATGGTAATATGGCTTGAAACTGTTCCCAAATGACGTAAATGCATTCACTCTGTGTAATCTCCCAAATCCATTAAGTTCTCGTGTGTTTTTTTTTCTATTTCGGTGGTTCAACGGTAGGATGAATAACCGCCAACCATGCCTGGCGTGGTCCTGGTTTCTATCCTTGGCTTATGCACTCCTTAACCTCTCCTACCCGATAGTAAGCGTGATGAAGACGGAACATTGAGCTAGCATATGTGAGGTTATCAATTCCAACCACCGTAAAAAAGGATAACACTACTTACTTCTAATGAAACTTTTAAAGCTTAAGAGGCTTGAAGCCATCCTATGCCCCACTGGGAACGTTAAGGAATAAAATTAAAATAAATAAATTGTCTCTCTCGTACATTTCAGTTCATTAGGGTTGTTTTGAATTTGTAATGTGGCAACTTAATCCGGTACACTTCTGTGCAAAATTCTACGTTGAAAGTCAGTAGTAATGCCCATTGTTGTTATTCTTTCCTTGCTTCCTGAATGAATGGAACATAGGGCTTCGGCAGTACATACATTTCCATTGTATTCTGTTCTCTGTCACCATCTGTTTT